GTCGGCATCGTCTGTGAGTATTGCCATCCTAAGCACCATACAGCAACTCGTCAAAGAGACAAGTCCACTAATCTCGTTGTGGGAAAACGCAGCAGTCCTTAAATTAGACTAAACTACCTAAAATGATTAAAATTTTATTGAAGAAATATTGATAGTCACAAGACTACTAATATCGAAAATAATCTGACCCTGTTGTTAAGACCAATTTTTGCATGGCATCAGACGTGTGGATGTCAATCTATCATGGAAATCTTCGAAAAAATGAACTATTTTTCTTATTTTTTATCAGAAATTTTTTCTATATATTATTTTTGGTATTTATTTTTTTTGTAAATAATTGCTGATTGGCCTCTGAGCAGAATGTGAGTGATACCATTCACAAATGGAGATATAGTTTTTTTGCGAAATAACGGGTCTAGTTGCAAATTGTTGGATGCTAAGTAATCACACTACGTAGCTCTAAAGGCATCATGCTCTAATTTTATAATGATCTTCATTTGCATGTCATCAGACAAGCAAAATGGACTTGCGCGTTGGTCAGCACGCGTACATAATTCCCTTCACGAGGGTAGTTGTTCAATGTCCGGTGGAATTCTTCGACGGACGCGATCTAATATGGCGTCACGAGGCTCGACCAGAACGTCTGGGCTACACCGGACGAAATGTATCGCGTGTGCATGTAGACCGCGAGGGCAGCCTTGTTATCGCCAGCTTCCAGCCGCTAGATGCAGGTATCTGGCATTGCCAAGCCGGCCTGCCACCACATCCCGCCGTCCTGGCACCACCCGAGGTCCCGTCGACCAAGAGCGAGTTGGCCGCGGACTCGAACGCCGGCCCAGTAGAGGCCACCGTCACGCTGTTAACGCGCAGCTCGGCCTCGGGTTTCGCCGACTGGGTGCAGCGGAATGCGCTTTGGCTGCGGCGGCGCGAGGGCTGGCTGAACGAGGACGCTTACGATGAGGACGGTTCGAGTCCCGGCTCAGAGGTATCTGGAGTCGGCGAGTCGGGATTCGGCCTCGGTTTAGTCGAGTCAAATGTTGGCTGGCCGGTGTATGCTGGTCTGGTGCGACGCGACCTCATCCAGTGGGTTGAGGCCGCCTGGTCCGTGTGCCCTCCGCTCTGCGGTCCCGACGCCAGTCCCGTGAACCAGACACGAGTGGTGCGCTGCGAGCGCATAGACCGCCGGCAATACCAAATACTCAACGAGTCGGCCTGTCTTGAGAAGACCCTGCAGAAACCGGTCACCCAACGGCCTTGCGACATATCAAAGGAATGCCCAAAATGGCAACTAAGAAATGTTGATTTCTCGGTGGTAAGCAAACGCTACAAAAGGGCATATTTGATGTCATTTTATTTAAAGTATGACAAACTGAGTGAGGCAGACGAATGGGAATAAGAGCTGTTTTTATCCAAGGTCGCATAGGACGATAAAGGACTAATAGTTGAGTTTTCCGACATTCATACAATTAGGACGTACGATGTCACCACATTTCTGTTATTTATATTCTCGTTGGATAAGATTTAAACAATGAGTATATCTTGAAAAGGCTATGTTCATGGAGGTTCCAGAATCATATAAGTAGGGTATTTGAGGCCATTAAATTTGATTACTTAATTATATCCTTATTGAGAAGCTTTCACAACTATCCATGGACCTTTAAAAAGAGCAATATTCACCCTCGGTCGAATATGGTGATTGGGACAGATATATGAAGTTTACCACAATCATATTATTCAATTTTACTTAGCCTTGCCTTCGAAGAACTGCGGTTTCGAACTTGCCTGGGCCTCATCTGAGCCCATAATGGGAATCTAACCCGGCTTGTGGCCGTTCAGCGTTTGTTTCACCACATTTCTGCATCTACCATTGCCTCAAAGAACAAACGATATTTTCAAGACAAGTCAGGCCTTTCCTGTATCATATTTCTGGTATTTCATATTTAATTTAATTGAGATTTACGACAATCAACCCAGTTCTCGTAATGGGATGAAAAACAACGATATATTAGGCATCATGCTTCCATTGAATTTCACGTAGCATAGTTTCCTAAAAGGTATTTTTATTTAGTATAATTTATACTTTACTTTTGATATATCGTGGAGCTTATCAGAATTCGCATTATGGCAATGCTATCACTCAGCTATGTATCCGCAGACGCCAACTGATAACAGACTAGATGCAATATTTAAGGCATGCTAGGCCTCTCCAAAATCACATATATTCAAATGTTGTCATCGAATAAGCAAACCTGAATTTACCATTATACTCGATAAAGTAATTTATTTATGCTGCGATTATGGTTCAAGGCTATCTGATATTTCTGAATAATAACTCAGACAAGATCGAAACTGTAGTCCATGTAGGATGAGAATACCTTTTATGAGACAAGGTTAAGGAAAATCCATTTTTATATTTTGTGCAAAGACACCATCATTCCTTCATCACTTTATTCGACTTAAGGGAAATACATCTTTTATTTTAGGTCTCTACTGCTCAATCTACATAATAGTGGGAAGTGAATTGGATAGGCAAACTGTTTATAATTATTGCCATTAATGCATATCTTACTGGATCTCGGTTGTTTAACTCGAGACTTATGCAAACACCTATTACATTTTTTTCTTGCCTCCAGAATAAATAGAAAGATAGCATTTACTTTTACAATAAATGTCTCCTCTATCAGAAGGGAGTGAGTCTAAGTGTGAGTCTTG